GGCTGGGGCTGGGGCTCAGTGGTAGGGCGCTGGCTTAGCATGTGTGAGGCATTGGGTTTGATTCTCAGCACCGCAAATAAATAAATAAAATAAAGGTCCATTGACACATACACACATATAAAGATGGTTCTAGAGAGACAGGCAGGAGAAATCCTGGTGTCCTAGTACATTCAGACTGCTATAAAAAATACTATGAACTGGGAAGTTTATAAACCGTCTAGTCCGGGAGTCTGGGAAGACCAGGATCAAGGTACCAACAGATTAGGTGTGCGGCGAGGGCCTGTTGACTGGCTCAGAGATGGTGGCTTCTCACTACGTCCTTGCATGGCTGAAGGGGTGAGGGAGTCTCTGGGGTCTCTTTATGGGCATTAATCTTATTCATGAGGGCAGCATCCATATAATCTAATCACCTCCAAAAGACCCTCTTTCCAAAAGCCCTACCTCCTAATCCCTGGGGGTTAGAATTTCAACCTATGAATTTTGGTGGGACAAACATTCAGACCAAAGCGCTACAGGCTCTGAGTCATAGCTTAAGGACAAAAGGCCCATCAAAGGAGCACCGCATTAATAAATAGGATACATGTGCAGCTCTGGCCAATTCACATTAGCCATAAAGGAGGTGCAAGAAAAGACAATAAAATCTTCGAAGGGTGGGGCTGGGTTGTGGCTCAGCAATAGAGCGCTCCCCTAGTACATTCGAGGCCCTGGGTTCGATCCTCAGCACCACATGAAAATAAATAAAGGCATTATGTCCAACTACAACTAAAACATAAATATTAAAAAAAAAAAAAAGTCTTCAAAGGGCTGGTTTTAGACTTCAGGTAACAGGGTTAAGGACTTTTGAAGAAAGACCAAGATTAAGAAAAAGCCCTAATTGACCACAATTTAGATGTAAGCATGCTCATCAAATGTTGAAACGTGAGGTTGAAACTGGTGATGTGAAGCCGGTTGTGGTGGTGTACACCCATAATCCCAGTTACCTGGGAAGTTAAGAAAAAGGACTGCAGTTTGGGGCCAGCCCGGGCAATTTAGCAAGATCCTATGTCAAAATACAAATTTAAAAGGGCTGGGGATGTGGCTCAGTGGTGGAGTACTTGCTTGGCATATGTGAGACCTTGGGGATGTACTCAGTGGCAGAGGGCCCCTGGGCTCCATCCCCAGTACTGTAAATGTTTTTTTTTTTTTTTTAAAGAATTTCAGTGATGTGAATTTTCATTAAAGGAACACCTAAGCCTTGTTTCTGCTCTGAATAATGGAGAATAGTGTTAAATCACTATTATGATGGGTATGGGATGAGATTCACCGAGACATGGTCTTGTCAGGAGCACACAGAATCTGGAGTCAGGAGCCAAGAGTACGGGAGTCTGGGCTCCCCTCCGATCTTCAGTGTATTGCTATTGCCTTTCTAGAAGGCATACTTCACAGAGCCATTATGAAGATGAAATGAGATTTTAAAAAATTTTTTTGTAGTTGTAGATGGACAGAATGCCTTTGTTTTATTTGTTTATTTTTATGTGGTGCTAAGGATCGAACCCAGTGCCTCACACATGCTAGGCAAGTGCTCTGCCACTGAGCTCCAGCTCCAGCTGAGATTCTTTCTTTTTTATTTTTTTTTTGGTACCAGAGATGGAACCCAGGGGCACTTAACCACTGAGCCACATTCTCAGACCTTTTTAAAAAATCTTATTTAGAGATAGGGTCTTGTTAAATTACTTAGGGCCTCGCTAAGTTGCTGAGGCTGGCTTTGAACTCACAAGCCTCCTGCCTCCGCCTTCCGAGCCACTGGGATTACAAGGCAGGCACTACCGTACCTGGCATGAAGTGAGATTCTGCATTCATTCAACAAATATTGGATGGACCCCCTAATACTTGCCAAATAGCAGGCTAGGTATTGGGTGAGGACACGTGGGGAAGAAGAAAAAGTCCCTATGCAGCTTAGAGTCCATGCAGCAGGAGAGAAAGGCCACGTATAATTATAAAGCCAGCCGAATGATGCTTGCTGGGGGGGGGGGCACCATGAGAGCTCTCACCTCCATGGAGGGTGGAGGGCTTTGAATTAGTTTGTAATGCTCCAAACTAATACTATTTAATATCACTTGGATTCGATTCCTGTTGTGGCTAGAATACATTACCACAAACCCAGTGGCTTAAAAACAACATGACTATATTATCTTACAATTCAGAAGGATAGATTTGTTTGTTTTTGTTGGTACTGGGGCTTGAACCCAGTGGCGCTCTACCAGTACACTATACACCCAGCCCTTTTACTTTTTTTAGAAATTATTTTGAGACAGGATCTTGTTAAGTTGCGGAGGCTGGCCTCCAACTTTTGATCCTCCTGCCTCAGCTTTTTGGAGTAGCTGGGGTTACAGGCACGAACCATTGTGCCTGACTTAGGTAGATCTTAAGGGCTAAAATCCAGGCTGCATTCCTTTTAGAATCTCTAGGGGATGCTTCATTCTTCATTCTTTTACAGCTTTTTGAGAGGCTATTCCCTTGGCTCCTGAAACCGTTACTCTGATTTCTGCTGCCTTGGTCCTGGCACTTTTTCTGACTCTGACCCCTCTTCCTTCCTCTTCTAAGGTTGCTTGTGACTACACTCGGTCAATACCAGATTAATCTCCCCACCTCAACCTCCTTAACTAAATCACATCAGCAAATTCCCTTTTGCCACATAGAGTGACACATTCACAGGTTCCAGGGCTTGGGATGTGCACATCTTTGGGCATCCATTATTTAGTCTACCTTACCACTCCTGGGCTATATAGTAGGAAATGAGCTATCCTGAGAAACCACTGAGAAGAACCAGTCTACTTCTGAACTTGGTGGTGGTATTCTATTAAATTTAGTTGCAGGGGGAGGGGAACAGAGTGGGTATCTGAGGACCAATAACATATGTCCTCTAAGAATACACTGCCACAAGGGAGTCCCCATCGTGTCTTAAAGGGAATGCCAGGCAACAAGCGAGAGTACCTGACACTCAGCAGCTGAGACCTTAGGAAAAGATATTACTTCTTTCAGCTTCAAAATCCACCTAAGTTAAAGGGGATAAATAGAAGTACCTGAAAGAACTGGAGTCAGGATTAATGAAAATATCACCCATGAAATCACTTAAGACAGCGCATCATCTTCAATAAACGTCTGTCCCTCCCTCAGTCCCTCCCTCCCTCTTTCTCAGTCCCTTTTGCTGGAAACACTGCCTAGTCCAGTCCTCTCATAACCTTCACTTGCTTGCCAATCATGCCAACTGTGCTCCGGCAACAGCTCTGGAGCTTGGGAAAAGCACCCGCATTAACCATGGAATCTGCAGCTAGTCTCTTAAGCTCTCTAAGCTTCAGTTTCCTCCTCTGTACAATGGGGATAAGAATGTCTATGGAACCAGGCTGTCATGAGGATTAAGTAAAACGATGAATGGAGAGGGTTTAGCAGTGTCTGGCACAAGATTAAGGGGCGATAAACAGTAGTACTGTTATTCTTCCCAAGAGGCCTGACCTCCTTTCTGCCTGGTCTTCTCCACATTCCTCACTCGGGGAGCACCTGACAAGTCTCTGAAGCCGACTTGAACCCTGCCGAATAGTGCTTATAAACAATTCCTTTTGTGTCTGATATTGTGCGTCCTGTTCTATTCATTTTCGCGGCCCCAGTTCTACTTTGCTTCTCAGCGACCTGTTCAACGTTTTCCTCGCCTTCTCAGTCACCTGCAGTGGGCAAGTTCTTTCCTCCATAGTGGACACAAGGTCCTTGATGAGGGGTGTCTCCTGTGAAGTGTGTTGGAAAAGTACTTCCCCTCCTTGTCAGGCCTCCATTTCCTTATCTGGACCGAGTCCACAGAACTGGAAGGGTAAATTAGCGTTTCCAGATCTGAGCTCTTAAACGATAGAATGTAATTAAGTAGCAAGGACCCTGTAGGTTACCTAGTCCACCTCTTTCCCATTCCAGAAGGGGAAATCGAGCGCCATTTTTCCATTAGGAGAAAGTTCGTGTTTTTCTGTTTGGCCCCCGGGACAAACCTTCCCGGAGGGCAGGAGGTCCTGATTTCCTAACTGGGAAAGGGGGGACTCGGCGTCTCCAAGGCTCGGGGCGCCGGAAACACGTGTGTGCTCACCTACGTGTACACACGTGAGTGCACCTACAGCAGCAGGGGGCGCTCGGGCCGGCAGGGGGCAGCACAGACCCGGCTTACAATTACCCGGCGCAGCCCCCAGGGAGGAGGGCGTGCTGCAGTCCCGGCGGCGGTGGCGGCGGCTGGAGGTGCAGCCTCCCAGGTGGGAGGCGGGGGCTGCGGGCGCAGGAAAAGGCGCCTTGTGAGCGGGCGCTCAGCGGGGCCTCCTCGGGCTGGGCACCGCGCAGCGAGTGGGAGCGAGCGCGCCGGGAGCACGCAGGCGCTCTGCTCTGGCTGGCCCTCGGCCCGCGCGCGGCGCGGGAGCAGCCCGCCCCCCGCCCCCTGCGCCCCGCAGCCCCCCGACTGCCCTTGGTCAGCGGCTCCCTCCGTAGCCAGCGCACCCGGAGAGCGCGCGGCGGCGGCGGCGGCGGCGGGACGGCCCCGGGCTGCCCGGAGCGCGCCCTCCCGCCTGCGGCCAGTCGCAGGCGGCGC